TCCGTACCTTTTAATTAAATTTCTAATAGTTTTAAAAGTAATATCAAATCTATGTATTATAGATGCTTAAAAATTAAATTTTTTATGATATTCATTTTTATTAATGAAAAAATTTAACAAAATATTGCCACCTATTTTCTTATTAATAAAAATTTACCTTTATATTATATTTTATTCTCATTATTGTATCCAAAATATTTACTAAATAGGTAAAAATTATATTATTTTAAGAAAAAATTAGGGGGAAGGACCTAGAAAAATAATATTTATTGAGAAGGATCTTAAAAATTATAATTATTTATAAGGACCAAATACTAAAATATAAGTTTAAAAATATTAAAGTACCCTTAACTAAATCCCTACATTTTTTCTTATCATGCTTCCATTGAATAGATCTTTTTTATTATCTCCCTAATTTGTACTGAAAAAATTTATAATCTTTTTCTTATCAATATTTATAACAAAATTTATTGAAAACAAATCAAAATCATTTATTATTAAGCTAAAATATCTTACATATTTAAATACAATGAAATGAAATTATTCATCTACATGAACACCCTTAGCGAATAGTTAAATTTTATCGGTCTTTATTTTATTCCAATTGAAATTTTCTCTTTTTTTTCAAACATCTCTTTCGTTACTTTTAATTTTATAAATTGTTTTACCCATATATATATATATATATTATAAATATGTTTAAATGTAAATAAACATATTTTACTTGATTTCATTAAATACAATTTAAATTTGGGAAAACCATATTGAAGGTACCTATACTTTCTCTCAATTTTTAATTTGGTACCTATGTGTTTTTTTCTCTTTAATTAAACATTTAATTTTATCTTTTTAGCAACATTAGCTCTTATAACTTTGTTCTATTGATATTTTTAGTCTCTACATAAGGATTAATGATGTTAATAGAGGAAAAATAAAGATTTAGTTAAGAACAAAAAACACATAGGTACCAAATTGAAAATTAAAAAAAAGTATAGGTACCTCCAATATGGTTTTCCCTTTAAATTTTTATAATTATTTTTCTTAACCTCAGTTTTTTAAAACAATAAATAATTAAATGAATAAAATTATTCAGATTTATTTTTATATCTAAAATTTTCATTTATTTTAATAATTTTTTAATTGTTAGTTACTTTAATACCCACCTATCAAGATCGAGTAAAACAAAAAAAATTATGAAAATTGATAGCAAATAAGGAATAATATGGGGAAAAAAGTTAAAGCTATGAATTTTTTTCTTATATATTTATTTCCAAAAAAATCATATACTTAAAAGATACTCCTCTAGTTTTATTTATAAGACAGAGAGAGTATAAATTTTGATCCTATATATAAAGCACTTGATATAATTTTTAATACAAACATACATAATTATCCTTATTAAATTATTTGTACAGTTGGTACATTTTCTTCACTCCTTTATCCAATGCTAAATGTCCTTCAATTTTGTCTTCTTCTTATGCTATTATTCCCGCATGTTCCACTTCTTCTATCTCTCTCTCTCTATTCATCTTTTCCACTCTCCCCTACTCATTCCTGTTCTTATTCACCTCTTCTACTCTCTTTTTTTTCCTATGCCATTAGTTCTTTTCATGCATAACAGATCTGACACTTGGAAAAAAAATACTTGATGAAAATATACATTTTTGTGCTTGATTAGTGTTACTTTTATAATCAAATTATGAGATGGTGGATGTGAAATTATTTCAACGGTTTTTTAATCTGTGTGAAATATACTAAAAATACGTTATAAATAAGACTAAATGGGTAATAGAGATCAAAACAAAATCTTGAGATCTTAAAACTATATAATAGAGGATTCTTACCGGCAAAATAAGAGGCACCTAAGAGTATAGATTTTTGAAATTGTTCAACCCACCACTTAGCACCTGGAGATTTAAAATAATAGTTTATCAAATAAAAAAAAAAGAAGAAAATCAAATTAAATATTATAATGACAAAATAAAAAATACATAAGAGAAATAACATACCCTCAAGGCCTCAACAGTAGTAAAAGTATGTGTCGAATGTTTGCAAGTAAGAGTAAAGAAACAAGACAGCAAAAGAATGGAGGAGGCTGGAGCAACTAATAAAACGAGAGAGTAGGATGATGAGAGAGAAGAGAGAAGTCTGAATACATGAAGTGGGAACACAAGCTCAACATGCGGAGGACTCAGACGCATTCACGGGCTACTGGCATAAGAGGAGATGCAAAATGTATAAGTAAAGCTCGGACGATTCAGACGCATTCATGGGCGTAAGAGGAGATGCAAATGTATAGCAAGCCACGACACTACTGTAGCTTCACGGGCAAGGGAGATGAGATGACTTAATATTCTTCCCAGCTTCAGACGCATGCAAAGAGTTCAATTGCTTTTTTAACTTAGACAAAAGTGGTTCAGAGAGATTTGTACCGGCAGAGGATGCTCATACGCATGGAAATGGGGAGAAAAGGACAAAAGTACTTTTTCTGAAATTCATCACTCAAAGATGAACTTTACAAATTCATCTCTACCAAATGAATTCGCAAATTTTCCCACTTTATTGAAGAACTCGTTCTGGGCAAGATGAAGTTTATAAATTCATCTCCTGGTGATGAATTTCAAGTGTAGCATTTCGGTAATATCTTTCCGCGCTGTAGCATTTTAGTATTTTATTTCACTGTTCATAGCATTTTGGTAAAAATCCCGCCAAAAAAGGTTATTATTTTTTTTCTATTATTATCAATTTTTTTTGACGATACACCTAACATTTTAGTGTTATTTTCTTAATGTATTTAATATTTTGATATTATTTTTTTAATTATATTTAACACTCTAATTACCAAGTTATGGCGCGCACATATATTTAACGGTCCGTCCGTCACCCTTTGTTCTGTTAAAAAATTTTTGAAGTTTTTTTTAATACCACTCAATATTTTGAAATATTTTTTAATAACATATTTTAAAATATTTTTAGTCTATTTATCACGTTAAAATATTTTTTATTACTACCCAATATCTAACATCTCAAATCATAAAGTGTTTTTCAATAAAATTTAGTATCCTACACTAATTTTTAATATATCCAGCACTCAAAATATTTTTTAGTAACACTCGATATTTTAAAATAATTCATAGTGTGATATTTTAGAATACGTAATGCATTAAAAATTAATTTATGGGATAATCTCATATCAAAGCAGCTCTTAGATTTTTTTTTTTGACCAAAAAAAGCAGCTCTTAGATTGGGATCCACAAAATTGATACCAGATGGATGATGATGACAAGTGACTTTGGCTCACAGTGAATTTTTATTGGATGATTTTTTCCCCCTAGTAAGTGATTTCAATGGATTTGATTTTGTTTAGATATTATTTATCAAATCATTTCTAGATGTGCGATTACCAGAAATAGTATGCTCATAATTAGAGAGATTAAGTTAGATTTTGATGATCGCTAGAATCGGACCCATTTAATTGGAAGTGAAGGTGAATATTTATAAATGCATCATGAAATGAGAGATTTGGTTAGATTATATTGGGAGTGAATTTGAATAAGTACGTCAATATCATAATTAGAAAGATATGTTTAGATATTTTTCTATTAATAGGTTAGGATTGTCTAACACAATTAGATCTGTTTTTAGGCTAAAATATATATTTAGTTTCTTAATTTTATAACGAGTTTCAATTTAGTTACTTAATTTTAAAAAATATACTTTTAATCCTTTAACTCTAAAATTGTTAATAAAAAATGATGATATTGAGATTTTAAATCTTGATAAAACATTCTTAAATGCTAATAGATTAAGTTTAATATTCAAAATAACCGTAATTATTACAAAAAATATCATTTAAATCTAACAATTTTAAGATTAAGGGACTAAATGTAGATTTTTTTTAAGTTAATGGACCAAATTAAAACGTTGTATAAAATTAAATGACCAAATGTATGCTTTAGTTTTGTTCTTAAATATAATATTTCAATCAATTTTTTTGTCTTTTTTATTTGTCACTTGTTGCCAAATTAATTTACCTAATTTAAAATTATCATGCAATCCCTCATAATTAATAGCTTTCTAAGTTTTCAATATATGCTATGGTCTATTCTCATTTATTCCAATGGATTTTGTCCTAGTGATTAATTGGATGTGGGTGACTGCATAATATTTATTTTCTAATTAGCATATTTACATTAAATAATAGTGACATAATAACAAATAAAAGAATTCAAAATCTTACATGTTTATTTTTATTAATTATTTTTTTGTGTGGATTTCGGCCTAAACATACTCCTTGTGGATAAAAAAATTAAGTTACAAAATCTCTCTTCAATTAAGGAGAAGTGGAAATCATTCTCTCCCTTCCTCTGCTTTTAAAAATTGTATCTTCGTCTTTTATCTAAGATTTCTTTAATAGGAGTCGGCCTAAAAAATAATCCGGGGTGGGTGGACGAACTTAATAATATTTTTATAAACTAATAATGAAATCTATGGCCAAAAGATAACAACGAAATCATCATCATTAATATATAATTAAATCCTGCCATTATTATATACTTTTTTAAGGATTAGGGCTCCTAAATTCCCTCGTGTATTTTTTTAATCCCAAATTCATTGGTCAGAAAAATCGGGGAAGCAACCTGCAAGTGCAACTACCACTGGGCCATCCAATAATGGACTGTGGGCCCAGGAATGCCCGCTTGCTATTAAAATATCATTTCCCGTGGGCCCCACATGATAAAGAAGAGTCTCCGTCTCTTAAAGATAACGTCGTCCCAACGGTAACCCCGCGGAGAATGCAATGAATAGATTCCGAAAACGTTGCCGCCTCTTCAGCCACTTGTGACACGTCATTGGCACGCGTTATCATATGATTTGGCCCAATGTTCACGCTCGCCGTTGCCGTAACGAAGTCGTTCACCTCCTTTTGTTATAAAAGCAGGCTCAAGCCCCCTTCTATCTTCGCATTTCAATTTCCTTCTCTTACGTTTCTTCTCTGAGAAAGCCTTCTATACTCCTTCAAGGTATTCTTCGAGTTTCCTTCTCTTTTCCGTTGTTCTTTAGTTCGGTCCTTTTTTTTTTTTTTTTAATTTTCAGTTCCCGCGGTTGTTTGGGACTATCTTGTGTTTGTTTAATCTGTGGTGTATCTGGATCGTTTTGGTCTTTTCTTCTGAATTAGTTGACCTAGTTTTTGATATACGAGAGATCGTTTTATATATGATATTTTGAATCAATCGAGTCAAGTTTGATTCGGATTTGCCGCGGAGTACTTTCGGCGTAAGCGGATTAATGCGTTAACGCGGTTTCGATGTTTTGCCGATTATTCTGTGGTTGATTCGCGTCCTTTATTCGTGAAAAAGGTGCCCGGATCTAAAGGATGGTTATATGTGTTTACTGTCTCGCTTTCAAAGTCCTCAGTTGATCATGAGGCGGCTTCTTGTTCGAGTTCTTCATGATTGTTGGACTTAAAATTATTCTATTGCCTGAAAGCGGCATTCAGATCTGTTCCTGAAGCTATCATCTTTAGGGGATTTTCTTTATCGTTTTCCCCGTTTTGTTTGGGCAAAAAAAAAAAAAAAACAGACAGAAGAACTTGTTGACGGAGTTTGTTTTGTTTGAATCTGATCAATTCATAATCTTGTTTGAGGCTCTTTTGATTTTTGTTAGGACTGTTCTAATCTGTTTTGTTTTTTAATTCTGTAGATGCAAATCTTCGTTAAGACCCTCACCGGCAAGACCATTACTCTCGAGGTCGAGAGCTCTGACACCATCGACAATGTCAAGGCCAAGATCCAAGACAAGGAGGGCATTCCCCCAGACCAGCAGAGGCTGATCTTCGCCGGCAAGCAGCTCGAGGACGGCCGCACCCTTGCCGACTACAACATCCAAAAGGAATCCACCCTCCACCTCGTCCTCCGTCTCCGTGGTGGCATGCAGATCTTTGTTAAGACTCTCACCGGCAAGACCATCACCTTGGAGGTTGAGAGCTCCGACACCATCGACAACGTCAAGGCCAAGATCCAAGACAAGGAGGGGATCCCCCCAGACCAGCAGAGGTTGATCTTCGCCGGAAAGCAGCTCGAGGACGGTCGCACCCTCGCCGATTACAACATCCAAAAGGAATCCACCCTCCACCTTGTCCTCCGTCTCCGTGGTGGTATGCAGATCTTTGTCAAGACTCTCACCGGCAAGACCATCACCTTGGAGGTTGAGAGCTCCGACACCATTGACAACGTTAAGGCCAAGATCCAAGACAAGGAGGGGATCCCCCCAGACCAGCAGAGGTTGATCTTCGCCGGAAAGCAGCTCGAGGACGGTCGCACCCTCGCCGATTACAACATCCAAAAGGAATCCACCCTCCACCTTGTCCTCCGTCTCCGTGGTGGTATGCAGATCTTTGTCAAGACTCTCACCGGCAAGACCATCACCTTGGAGGTTGAGAGCTCCGACACCATTGACAACGTTAAGGCCAAGATCCAAGACAAGGAGGGGATCCCCCCAGACCAGCAGAGGTTGATCTTCGCCGGAAAGCAGCTCGAGGACGGCCGTACCCTCGCCGATTACAACATCCAAAAGGAATCCACCCTCCACCTCGTCCTCCGTCTCCGTGGTGGCATGCAGATCTTCGTTAAGACCCTCACGGGGAAGACCATCACCTTGGAGGTTGAGAGCTCAGACACCATCGACAACGTCAAGGCCAAAATCCAAGACAAGGAGGGTATCCCACCAGACCAACAGAGGCTGATCTTCGCTGGCAAGCAGCTTGAGGACGGTCGAACCTTGGCTGATTACAACATCCAGAAGGAGTCAACCCTCCACCTTGTCTTGCGTCTACGTGGTGGTATGCAGATTTTCGTGAAGACGCTTACAGGAAAGACCATTACTCTTGAGGTTGAGAGCTCGGACACCATTGATAATGTTAAGGCCAAGATTCAAGACAAGGAGGGTATCCCACCAGACCAGCAGAGGTTGATTTTTGCTGGAAAGCAGCTCGAAGATGGACGTACACTTGCAGACTACAACATTCAGAAGGAATCCACCCTTCACCTTGTCCTTCGCCTCAGAGGAGGCATGCAGATTTTTGTGAAGACCTTGACTGGCAAGACTATCACGTTGGAGGTGGAGAGTTCGGACACGATCGACAATGTCAAGGCCAAGATTCAGGACAAGGAGGGGATTCCACCAGACCAGCAGAGGCTTATCTTTGCAGGGAAGCAGCTTGAAGACGGAAGGACCCTAGCTGATTACAACATTCAGAAGGAGTCCACCCTTCACCTTGTGCTTCGCCTTCGTGGTGGTAACTGAATATTGTGCGGAAGAGTTGCCTCTGTCGGTCCTTTCCTGTTGCGTTGAGTCTGTGTTTTTCATTGAGAAATTGAAGTGTCGGGGTGCATGGTTTGCCCCTTGAATAAATTTATGTTATGGTTTTTAAGCGGTTTGTATAAATTTCGTACTCTTAATGACTAGTCTCCCGCTAATGCGGGTTTATAATAATTGTGTTTCCGAGTAATCTATTGTGTGTGTGATATTTGGATCGAGTTCATATGGGAGATGTGATACAGTTTGTGCTGTATTGGATGGTTGTTCGCAATACAAAGTCCTATAGTCCTTCTGTATTGCTGTTCCCGTTGTGTTAATTAATCCTAATCCTATTATACAAGAATGTGGAAAACTTGTAGCAATCTGATGGGATGGGGAGTACTAGAATGAAGAGAGGGTTGGGGTGAAGCTGCTGGATGTATTTATCTCTCGAGTCATGCATTCATTATTGCTTCGAAAGCGCTCATCAAAGAAGGTGGAACCTACTAGGCGAGTCTTTTGAGTGCACCATCTTCTCGCAATGAGATTCTGGGGGCTTTTTGATTGATTATCTATTTTTATGTCTCCCACAGTAGCATGGTTGAGGAACGAGGGTGCTCAGACGGTATAGAATGGTTCTACTTAGTACCATATTTATTAACAAACATATTATCACTGTACACGTATCACATTAATTTTCAAAATGCCCAAAACTTAAAATAAAATGATGAGCTGCATTTTATTCTTTAGTTTAATTTTAATTTTTTCCACCAATATAAATTTAGTCTAATAGAAGGTTTTCAGTTTAAAAAGAAATTAATACATATGAGAAAAAAGTTAAATAAATTACTTTGAAGTATTATATTTATTGTCTAATACATTATAATGATATATATAAGTATTTTAAAGAGATAATTAAGTAATTTTTAAATTTTTTTTATCTGTAACAATTTTTTAATTAATCAATTGGTTTTTATATTAATGAGTAGATGTAGTATTAGAGAAATAAATGATAAATATTATTCAATTCTACTGGACTCCAAAAACAAGTAATTTGGTTTTTATTGTATAAACCATAACCATTGTCTGGAGAGCACCTGAATTTTAATTCCCCAGGGACTAAGCCCTGGAGGGCATGCGAGTAATTTGGTTTGCTTGGTGAACGATCTTCGAATTAATGCTCTGTTATGCAAATTGATTAAAATCTTGATTCTAAAGTAAGCTGAAAAGATTTAGTATTGGACGCCATCAAACATACGAAGGAAGAAAACCACAAAAGACAGCCAATTATGATTTCCTATTAAGTCCTACAGTTCTTCTGCTTATTTGTTGCCCCTCAACATCCCAGAAACCTGCAAATAACAATGTCAAATAAGTCTATTTTCAAACCCAAGTCTCATCAGCACCATCCAATCCTAATAACACAAAAAATCCCATAAAAACTATGATCAAAAGATCTGGGCTTACTGTTACTAGGAACATTCCTCGTGGGGATCGGCAGGAATGTTTGGAAGGTCCTTGACGCAAGCTTGACGAAGCTGTTGAACTCTCTGAGCAAGAATCGGAGGTTGGAACTTGGCGTCTCTGAAACAATAACACACAGCCTTCCTTATCTCAGCCGTACTACACATGGCCCTCAATTGCATACCAGCCAGACAGCATCTAGGTGAAGGCTCCTCTGATCCTCCACCCTCCAAAAACTCAAAACATGGCACCATCGCGCTCATTGCCTGGCTGCACGCAACGCAAGGTACGTCATTTCCTTCTTTAGTTACTGCTTCTGTGCTTCCACACCATACCAGAGCCATAAAAACGAAACCCCATTTTGCAGATGAAGCCATCTTCGATTCCCACACAAATCCCCTGTTCTTGAGATCATAAAACAAGCTTGGTATTTGTATAGCCATAAAAGTGATTAACTGCATCCAGAAGATCTGGTGTGTATATTCATTCATAAAGCTAAACTATATGAACATGGAATTATAATTCATAAAACCATTTCTGTCTTTTATGCTTTGGAGGAGCAAAAACTCACCATTATTACAAACAAAAGAGATAAATGCATTCATTGCAATCAATGCTTGCCATTTATTATGCATCCACTTAGTATTTATGAAACATTTGCGTCCTAAACACGAACCGACTCAACAAAAAAGCAAGATTAATGGCATACACGCCGATTCATTATTAATCCCATGGACTGAGAGAACACTCCTGTGGAGAAGTTGGGTAGCGTTGGGAGTCTTTGCAATAATCATAAACGACGAGGTTTCTGAGAACCCAACCGTGGTCTATTTTCTGGTCATCAGAGAGATGCCAAGCATCATATTGGTCCCACCAATTCTGAGTTGTGGTGGACACACATGGAGGGTAAGGTTCTTCCCATTGGCAGGCTTCAATAGTGAAGTCCTTGTAGGATGACACAAATGGATCTAGTCTCCAATCAGTCTTCTCTAGTCCTCCTCTTGTAGCCCACTCATCTGCATTCCATATACTTGAAAATAAGTACATTGGCTTCTCTGTTGGGAAGAAATTGTTCATTTCGCCGTAGCTCTTGCACACCCTTATGGCCACTTTGTCCACGAAGAATCTGTTCCAATTAACATGATTTGATGAAAAACTCAAATGGGTGTGACTAAAAATTTTGATTTTTAACATGTAAGTGAAAGAAAGAAGTGGTAGGTGAGGAATTTACACGAGCTGGTGGTAGTTCCAGAGGATGGAGTAGGTGTGATAATCTTCAGTGGGGTCGAACCAAAGCATGTGTCTCATCTCACGTCCACCAGTTCCAGTTTTATACACATTTGTCTGAATCAAGTATGGCTCCCCTGTTCTGTTCCCCAAGAACTCAAAATCGATCTCATCTCTCTCCGGTCCTGCTCCATTCTCTGAACACATCTGCAACATCAAATCCACCCTCATGTTCTGTATCCAAAGAAAAATGCTTCACAAGATCTCATTTCTCTTCAATTTTGAAGATGATGCAGAATTCAAACACTTACGTAGAATGCTGTAACTACACCAGCAGAGTCACCACCTACCAGCTTCATCTTCAAGCTGAACCAACCAAATCTGTATCTTTGCTTTGTCTGGAAACCACATCCTATAATACATCAATTATGTATCAGAAATGTATTTAACAGAGAATGAGAAAGACTAGTTTGACGATTGTGTACCTGTGTCTTTGTCTAGGGAGAGATACCAGATCTGTCCATCTTCGGAAGTGGTGAAATGGTCTTTGGACCACATTATGTCGAAGTTGTCGTTGAAGAATGCTTTGGACTTATTAGCTGCTTCAGATGAGAAAGAAGAAGCAGCCATGAGTGCTAGAGTGAGGAGGACAACCATGGACGATGATGAGTTCAGCATCGGATTCAGAGAAAGAGAGGGACGATGGAGAAGAACAGAGAGTGGATATGTTCATTAAATGATCTGAATTTCAATTTTTATTTCACATGTTTTTGCCTTCTGACTTTTCTTTGTTTTTGGATTGAAGTTGACATTCACCTGCTTCATTAATTGCCTGGTAGGTAATTTGCCGCCACAGTAAATGAATGTTTAGACCTTGTGAACCTCACAAAAGATTTTTAGGGTTTAATTTAATTTACTCTACTTCCATTCATAGATTTAATAATGTTCAATCATATATGTGTGTGTGTATTCAACACTATCTTTCTTTCCCCTTCACGTCAAAATGCTTAGTGGATGGAGAGCCGACAAGGGCATTATGGGGATCATACAATGGAACATATCTATATTTGAAATCAGAATGTGAGGAAAACAAGGAAATCCAGGCTGCAATCCAATGAAAATGTTAATGATATATTGATACGTGGGGAGCAATGGATTGAAAATGAAGGCGGAGGCTCAGGAGGAGGAAGAAGAATGGTTATTTTAGAGAGCACATTCCATGCTCATCATCATAATGATGAACATGGAATGCTCATCGCAATTTAAATCATCCAGATTGATTTTAGATGGTTTAGATTAAATTTAAATTTTTTATATATTTTAATCAACTTTTTGTTTTAATAGATATAGAATTTAAAATAAATATAATATCATAACTAACATATCTTCAAAAAAATAAATTTATAATTGAAAAAATTATATATTAAAAATTTTAAATTTAAACCATTCATATTAGATTTTGAATAGTTTAGATTGTATTACAGTAATGAGTACTAAATGAAGACCCGTTATTTCATCTCTCTTGTGAAATCTAGTATTAATGTATTATCATAAAGATGAACTATTTATTAAATAAATTCCTAAAATTTTCATCAATCCTATAAACACTGTACTGCACAGACATTATCACGTTGCTTCTCAAAATGTGGGAAAATTTCTCTTAAATGAGTTCTCATGCTGCACTATATTTTGGTTTGAAAATTTTCAGTACTATAAATTTAGGTTAATAGATGGAATTCACCCAAAAAATTATAATATATATTATTAAATACATAAAAGAATGTGTTATACATCAATTATTACACTATACTCAGAAAACCTCTACATGTGATTTCTTAAGTTTTATTCTTATTTTCTCTGTTTTTTTTAAATAATAAGCATAGGGTTATTCAGGAATTACAGGTCAGTTTCAAAAGATACATGTAGGCAACGATATGATTGACCAATTAGATGACACATCTATTATATCGAGATTACCTCGGAAAATGCTGAGTTAACAAACATTCAATTCTCGACATCAGCTGAGGACAATTTGGCCGAGTGGTCTAAGGCGCCAGATTTAGGCTCTGGTCCGAAAGGGCGTGGGTTCAAATCCCACAGTTGTCACTCTTAGAATGATTCTAAATTTTTTTTTTTTTCATCAAATGCAGTGTAATCACTTCTTATTAACGTCTTTGGTAGGGCTCTGTTCTTGTCTTGAAAACCATATCCTCATCTTTCTTTTGTCTGCACGGTCTAGTGACAGACCCAAGCAAATCCCTAGCACACACCTTGCATGTTTAATTTTCAGATTGAATTTGATTCTTTGAAAGATTTATAAGACAAAAAAGGAGGTCTTCCACATGCATCGTAGCAGAGTAAGAATCCATGAAATGTTCATGCTGTAGCCTTCTAGCAATCCCAGGCACAGAGTGGAGACAAGTTTCTTCTGTTTTGCTCTCCTTTTTCAGTGACAATGGCACAAAGTATTAGTCGTCAATTAAGCAGGCTCTCACTATTAGAGTGTCAAACCGGTTGTATACATACATATATGTATCATTAAAAAAAAATATAGATCTTTTAATTTGCGGCCCGGTAAATCCCAAGTTGTTTCTTCAATTTCAACACACCCACAAAACCACGGAAAGCCTCTAACAAAAGCTTGAGAGGTTGATCAAATTGAGAAATCGATCACCATCAAGTAATTAAGAAATAAATTCCTCCCAACGTGGACCCATTTCCTCCATATTTCCCCCCCTAAAGAACAGTGAATCAAAATAATAGACCTTCATTATATTCTTGTTACAGTTTTGTGGATCTACCTAGCTAGGAGCTCCCAATTAGAAGTCTGATAGGAAGTTGGAGTTTTGGATCAGCATCAACGCATTGTTGAAAATGATCCCACTGTGTGTGGTGTGTAGTTACCTCGTTTAGCCAGGTGTGGTTTTATGCTAATAACTAACGATTCAAAAGATTATTAATTATTATCGACATAAATATCTCACCCCATGTTCCCATCCACCATATTCCCAACCTCATATTTTTCTTTGTATCTTGCTCTTTTTAGGCCAGTGTTCCCCACCACTACTCCCAGGAGATCTTGGCAGTTTCTGGGGAAAAAGCAGATGCTAACTCATTAAGTATCTGAAATAATGATACCAATTGTGACTTCAAATCAAATTCCTGAACCGTTCAAATTCTATCTTAGTGACTCAAAAAGCAAGATTTTTAGTTCAGATATTCCACTGAGCTCTGGTTATAAAACCCTCCCGTTACACTCTTCAATCTCACAACTGATCCCAAGCTCCCTCTTTTATATCACACGCAAATAAGCAGACTCTTTCTTCTTCTTCCTTTCATGGCAGCCATGGCCTCTGCAACCCTCACCTCCTTTCTCTCATCGAACCCTAAATCCTCCTTCACTTCCTCCTCCTTCCACGGCACACCCATTCAATCTTTTCGCTTCACACCTATCAAATCCACCACATCATCCTCCACCATCTCAATGTCCCTGACCTCACCGCCTTACGATCTTCAATCCTTCAAATTCCAACCCATCAAAGAATCCATCGTCTCTCGTGAAATGACCCGCCGGTACATGACCGACATGATCACCTACGCCGACACCGACGTCGTCATCATCGGTGCTGGCTCCGCCGGCCTCTCCTGCGCCTACGAGCTCAGCAAGAACCCATCTATCCGTGTCGCGATCCTCGAACAATCCGTCAGCCCCGGTGGCGGCGCGTGGCTCGGCGGGCAGCTCTTCTCCGCCATGGTGGTCCGCAAACCGGCCCATCTGTTCCTCGACGAGCTGGGCGTTGATTACGACGAGCAAGGGGACTACGTGGTGATAAAGCACGCGGCCGTGTTCACGTCGACCATCATGAGCAAGCTTCTAGCCCGGCCCAACGTGAAGCTGTTCAACGCAGTGGCGGCGGAGGATTTGATCGTGAAGGAAGACAGAGTGGCCGGGGTGGTGACGAACTGGGCGCTGGTGTCGATGAACCACGATACACAGTCGTGCATGGACCCGAACGTGATGGAGGCGAGGGTGGTGGTGAGCTCTTGTGGGCACGACGGGCCGTTCGGAGCCACCGGAGTGAAGAGGCTGAAGAGCATAGGGATGATCGATAGCGTTCCAGGGATGAAAGCCCTTGACATGAATGAAGCAGAAGATACGATTGTGAGGCTGACGAGAGAGGTTGTGCCCGGCATGATCGTTACTGGTATGGAAGTTGCAGAAATCGATGGAGCCCCAAGAATGGTAAGCTATCATCTTCATCCTTGCTTATATATCTATATAGAGAGAGAGAGACAATATTATCAAGGTGACAATGTTTGGATGATGAATGTTGAATGAATTTGCAGGGTCCAACATTTGGGGCGATGATGATATCGGGGCAGAAGGCGGCGCATCTGGCTTTGAAGGCGTTGGGGAAGAACAATGCAATCGATGGGACTTGTGGAACAGGCACTGAACAACCTGAGCTCATTTTTGCTTCGGCTCACGCTCAAGACGACATTGTTGATACTTAATATGTGTGTCTGTATAAATTTACACACACACATGAAGGTGGAAGACAGTGAAGAAGTGGTGATGATCAGCTTAACTATATGTTTTTGTGGTTCCTTTAAAACTCAATGTTCATTACCATGTAATATCATCAGCCTTATAATAGTTTGATAGAACTCCACCTATATGTTCTTATTTATTTCATATTTAGATTAAATATGTATTTCATGTAAAAAGTTAAATCTAAAATATTTCATACTGTTAAGTTATAGATTTTAAATGACTGAAGCAAGCACTAACCAATAATTCAATTTTTAATTATATCATGAGTTTTTGAAAGAATCCCAATAAGATCTGACTGAAATACCTAAACCCAAATTAAGACATACATTTTTAACAAATTCCTAATAAGGTTATGAGGCCTAATTTAGAATTTTTAAATGTTGTCAAATGACAAAAATGGCCCCCTTTAATTAAAAATAAAAATTAATTATTTTACCCCTCCCAAGTAATCTCTCATCTCTTATAATTATTTTGTAGGAGTAAAAAACACAAGTGATTTTATAGTGTTTAAATTTTGTATGTATGACTAAAAGCTTCAAAAATATTCTAATAAAATATTTTAAATTACAACATAAATAGCCTGAAAATAAATAATTTTTATTTTTGTTGATAAATATTTATTTTAAGATTTTTCAAATATTGTAATTACAAGAAATATTTAATACTATGTTCTCATAATTTCGTTAGTTTTATTTACTTAAGCGATTCCAACCCGAAAGGTTATTTATAATAACTTAGTATTAAATATTTTCTGTAATTAAGATATTTTAAAATTTTAAAATAAATATTTACCAACAGAAAATAAAAAATATTTATGTCAAGGCTATTTATGTTGTAATTTCATATATACAAATTATAAAGTCCCAAAAAATAATCATAAGAGATGAGGGACAACTTAGAAGGATAAAATAATCAAATTTTCTTAATTAATTGGGAGCATTCTAGTTATTTAACAATATTCAAAAATTACTAATGAGGCCTCATAGTCTAATTAGAAAATCATTAAAAGTGTAGGCTTTTATTTGGATTTAGGTATTTCAGCAGGATTTTATTGAGATTCTTCTTAAGTTTTTTTAACCGGGATCAATTCCTCTCTCATCATTTTCAATCAAATTACATAAAAGTAATTACATTTAAGCGGGAAAAAAAAATACCACAGCTAATCCCATCATATAGAATAATATAACAAGACATAGTACAACTTGCCTTTTAGAATTACAATACATGATGTTAGGGAAACATACATGGTTTTATTAATATAATAAAATA